GAGGGAATCAAACTAAAAAGTTTTTTTTTTTTTTTTCTCAGCAAAAGAAACAATCTGTGAGGTAAATAGCCTACATCCTGGGAGCAAATATTTACCCCTCACATATCAGATAGAGCACTAATCTCTAGGGTATTTAAGAACTGAAAAAGCTAAGCACCGAAAAAACAAATAACCCAATCGATAAATGGGTGAAGGACCTGAACAGACACTTCTCAGAAGAGGATATACAATCAATCAACATATATGGAAAAAAAAATTCTCATCATCTCTAGCAATCAGAGAAATGCAAATCATAACTATTCTAAGATATCATCTCACTCCAGTCAGAATGGCAGCTATTATGAAGATAAACAACAATAGTTTTGGCAAGGATGTGGGGGAAAAGGTACACTCATACATGTTGGTGGGACTGCAAGTTGGTGCAGCCAATATGGAAAGCAGTATGGAGATTCCTTGGAAATCTGGGAATGGAACCATCATTTGACCCAGCTATTCCTCTTCTCGGACTATACACAAAGGATTTAAAAACAGCATACTACAGGGACACAGCCACATCAATGTTTATAGTAGCACAATTCACAATAGCTAAACAGTGGAGCCAAACTAGATGCCATTCAGTGGATGAATGGATAAAAAATATGCAGTATATACACAGTGGAATTTTACTCAGCAATAAAAGAGAATAAAATCATGGCACTTGCATGTAAACGGATGGCATTGGAGAAGATAATGCTAAATGAAGTTAGCCAATCCCCAAAAAACAAATGCCAAATGTTTTCTCTGATATGGGGTAGGGAGGGGGAACATGAGAGAAATAGATGAATTCTAGATAGGGAAGAGGGGAGGGAGGGAAAGGGAGGATGCAGGGGATTAGCAAAGATGGTGAAATGTGATGTACCTAATTATCCAAAGTACATGTATGAAGACACAAATTGGGTGTCAACCTACTTTATATAAAAACAGATATATGAAAAATTGTGGTATGTATGTGTAATAAGAATTGTAAAGCAAAAAAAGCACATGTATAAAGACATGAATTGGCATTAACATACTCTCTATAAAAAGATATGAAAAATTGTGCTATAAATATGTAGTAATAATAATAGTAATGAATTCCACTGGCTTGTAGAAATACAAATACCATTCTGTTCTACCCAGTAAACTTCCTTTGATCATAAAAAAAAAAAAAATGAACCCATCCATCTCATCTGTGGAAGGGAGGGAGTGGACTGACAGGTTGGATGCTGCATTGATGTGTCTGTTTATGGCCTGCATCACTGCCTTTGGGTTCTGCCCTAGAGGAAGAGCTGGGCTGAGGGGAGTGACATACCTGGAACAACTATTTACTTCTGAGTCGGCAGGTTTGGGAAGATGAAGAAAGTACCCTGCCAGGTCAGAGTTTTACATGGAAAATGAACACCTAGCCCCGTCTCTAGGAGTACAAATGGGGCAAGGTCTAGATGTGAGCACAGGAGTAAACTTACTGCCCTTATCAAGAGGCATGGTATTATGGGCTAGACCTATGGCCTTGGCCAACTCTGTGTAATTATTAGGATCTGGAGGCAGGAATTTTCAAAACAGCAGTATCTTGTGCCAGAATGGGGCACTGCTAACTTCCTCAAGAGCAAGTGAGAGACTCAGAGTGCACATTGTTAACTCCTCAAGATAGAGACACTGTGAGGGCTGAAACCCTTCCTTCTTGACACTCACAAGAGGGCCTGGGAAGCCAGACTAGTTTTTGAGGATTCAGTTCTGGCGTCTTTCCTGAAGATGGGAGCAAGTGTCCAGGTGATTTCATTACCTGCACTGGGTAGCTAGATGGATGTCCCAGGTGAAGTGGGTGGGGAAAGAATCACAGGAGGCCTCAGGCTGAGAAAATGAGGAATGAGGGGCGCAACCTTGGGCAGGGGTCACTTTTCCAAGGACAGAGTTTCCCCTGGGGAGCTGGAGTTGGCAGAGAGCGGAAGTGCGTTCCCACCCCCCATGGTGGCCCTGGGGCTAGCCGAAGTCGGTGGGGAGGAGCAACCACTAAGTACTTGGGCTTCACAGTTTAGCTGTACAACAGATGGAGTCCCTGAAATGAGGGGGTGGTGGTGGCCAAAGGGCGCCAGCGGTGCTAAGGAGGCTAGGCCTGGCCTAGGTTGGGGAAATCCTGCTAAGCATTTAGATTTCTCAGCTGAGAGGGGACCATGGCACAGGGTGCAGCTGCTTCATTGAGGTAGGAAGTGCACTGTCACCAGAGGAGGCCAGCAGGAACAGTATCAAGCCAAGGCGAAGCTCAGTGGCCCCAAGACCCCGCCATCCTTCTTCTCTCTGCTTGAGGCATTCAGAAAGCAATCCTGCCTCCTCAGGAACCTCGGAGCGCCCCACGGATAGCTCCAGTTGCACAAGTGAGCCCAACCTCGCTGCTGGGGGAAGGGTGGGTGGGTGAGTCATCGAATGAAAGACACGCTGGACACTGGAAGTGGGGGCCAAAAACTCAGCCTGGAGAGTTCCAGGCATGACGTTGCCTGACCTTTGCACCACTCTAGAGGGTGCTGGAGGGTCTATGAATGGCAGTGCTTTGTCTATTGTTTTTAAATCCCTGAAATTAAGGCTAAGATTAATATTCTTTAATATTTTAAACTACTAGGGCTACTGCAGGAATCGCTGTGATTAAGAACTTTACAAAATCATGGAATTTGCAGGGAAATGGATGGCACTAGAGCAGATTATGCTTAGTGAAGCTAGCCAATCCCTAAAAAACAAATACCAAATGTCTTCTTTGATATAAGGAGAGCAACTAAGAATAGAGCAGGGAGGAAGAGCAGGAAGAAAAGATTAACATTAAACAGAGACATGAGGTGGGAGGGAAAGGGAGAAAAAGGGAATTGCATGGAAATGGAGGGAGACCCTCATTGTTATACAAAATTACATATAAGAGGTTGTGAGGGGAATGGGATAATAAACAAGGAGGGAAATGAATTACAGTACATGGGGTAGAGAGAGAAGATGGGAGGAGAGGGGAGGGGGATAGTAGAGGATAGGAAAGGTAGCAGAATACAACAGTCACTAATATGGCRGTATRTAAAAATGTGGATGTGTAACYGABGTGATTCTGCAATCTGTATTTGGGGTAAAAATGGGAGTTCATAACCCACTTGATTCTAATGTATGAAATATGATATGCCAAGAGCTTTGTAATGTTGTGAACAACCAATAAAAAAATAAACTTATTGTTTTAAATTTAAAAATAAAATAAAATAAAATAAAAATGCTACTTGTTGATACTGCTCTCCATGGCTCCTCCAATCCAGATATAAATTTTTAGTAAAGTTCTGGAATCAGTTGAAAAATTGGTTATTAAATATAATAAAATTGCTTTAACATTATATAGGGGCTGAAAGGGAAAGGAGAGAAAAATTGGGCCAAAGAAGAAAGAAGAAAACAAAGGGGGGAAAAGGTATTATATTCCAAGGTAAAAACAAGAAAAAGATGAATAGTGGAAGGGGGTGAAGCAGTAGTGGGGAATATAGGGAAAAGAGGAGGTAAGAGAAGCAAGTGTGAACCTGAGCTAGGAAGACAGAGATAGACTCATTCAAATTAATATTTCTAAACATTAGAATAAATATAATCAAATGGGTTGAGAGCACAATATTAGATACTGGATTAACAACTATCAAAAAAATGAAGAGTGATATATTTAAGGATCAATATGGACATTAGGACTATTTATAGTAAATCATGGCAAGGTGAAGAAAACTCTTATTGAGTCTTGGTTTGGATTTCATCAGGATTTGGGATCTTTAGAAGATTCCACATTCTTTAGCTTTGGATCCCTCCAGAGCCACACCTCCTCTGTCTTATTATTCACCAGCTGTTTCTTGATTCTCATTTGTCAGTCCAGAGACCGGAGGCTGGGTGCTTGAAGAGTGCATTCCCATGGGATCCTGTTGTCGTCCAGAGTCCTCTTTAAAGTGTCATATGCTTGGTGGCTGTCTACAAACATAGGGCCTGTGTTTGTGGGTAGTCTGTGGGCTGTCCATGGGTAATCTGTAGTGCACAAGCATCCCCCATGTCCAAAACAGATCATCTGGGTGCTATCCCTACTCCTGGGTAAAGAGACTCAACTGGTTTGTCTAGGTTCTACCTTCCTCTGCCCAAGGTGGGGACCATGGGCACTGCTTTGTCCAAGATTTGGGTCAAATTGCTTGATTTCCTTCAATGACTCTATTGCTCCTCTTGTCTTTTAATTTGGCCTGCTTTTCTTTCCAGTTGACATTTAAAGAGTGAGCCTGTGTGCTTTCCCTCTCCCTCTTTCTCTCCCTGTTGGCCATCACCCTCTCACCCAATCCTAGTTTGATTTAAGGGCTAATGAATTTTGTCCATATTTTGTGCTCTGATAACAGAATTTCAGGTCTCTCCAGAGTTGGACTGTCTAATATTGAGTCTTAGAGGATTCCTTCTATCACCCACCTCTTTGGCAGCTGTTCCTTCATTCACTGCCTCCTTTCTGTACTGTGGACAGGTCGGCCATCTCCACCTAACTTGGTTCTGCCATCTTTGTTTATCTCCATCTCCAATTTTTAGTTTCCAAATACTTCCTTTGTACCCCATTTGTACTTAGCTTTGCTTCCTCTGTACCTCAGGCCTCCCTGCTCTCTAGTTCAGGTTTAACATAAAACATTTAGTTGTGAAATTATGCCTGTAATGAACTACACAAATCAATTTCTTCTCAAGTCATTAAATTGTGTTATTGTAATGAAGAATGTTTTGTCATCTTTATTCAAATGTTAATCTTGAATATATCATTAATGTGATTGCTTATACAATTAAAATGATACACTTAAAACTAAAAAAAAAGAACTTTTTTTATACCAACTTTGCCATGTATGTATATGCTTATTTGATTGATCACTCATTAAGCTTAAAAGTATCTTCAACTTCCATTTTAATTTTGCCKTATAAGATACATTTTGGTGATTAACATGTGGTTAATGGTTCAGACATCACATTAGAAAATGCCGGAAATAACTCACATGCAGGTCAGCATGAGCAAGGAAGAACAAGCAGAAGAAGCGAAGAAGCAGAAGAAGAAGCTCTTTTATTGTATACAGCAGTCTTTTAACAGTATTGTGAATAAAGAAGGCAGCATTCCAACAGCAATGAATCAGGTCTTTAAGCTAGCTAAACTTAGTATACAGAAGTAACTTACTAATCAGAACTGACCAGCTTCTCATGGCTTAATATACTCTTGGGCCGGAGCATTCTGAGCTCTGCTCTTTGTTAAAAACAGATGAAAATTTTTCTCAGAGCCCTCCTAGCCCACTTGGCAGAACATCCCATTTGCAGGCAAGCTCCACCAAGGACAGCAAGCACACTCACAGTCACGTCTGATTCTCTGCAGAAAAAAAGCATTAGGACAAAAGTGTTTTAAAATCATTATTTGGTGTCTTGGTTACTCAATAAAATTTTAACTACTCCATTTTGCCTGAGGAGGATCTTCCAAGAAATATAATTTTCATGGTTTAAAGTGGTGGATCTCAAAGTATGATCACCAGCTCAAGCAAAGGGACACCAGGAGGGAATTTGTTTGAAATGCAAATTCTCAGGTTCTATCTAAGACCTGTTCAGTCAGAAATTCAGGCCCACATCTTATTTATCAGTGTTCAGCAAATGCTCCAGAAGATTATGATGCTTTGATCATTTAACTACTGAACCACAGTGGCAACATGGAAGATGAGGGTAAAATCCTTTTGGCTAAAATAATCTTGGCAAAATCATGTACAGAACAAACGTTTCCTTGCTGGCTAACTATAAAACAAGCCTTAATTATTTTAATGCCACCAGTGATATACAGARGAATATGTACTGCTAAAATGTGAAATCTTTTAAATTCTTCATTATCAGAGTTCCATTATTATATTGTCATCTAATAAGCTAGAGAACTTCATTTGAACTTGACTAATTATATTCTTACTTTGTTCACCATATTGTTATATTCACCACTTTGACCAGTGGTGCCAGCTGGACTGTTGGCACATATTCTTTCCACAGTGCCCTCAATCTGGGGTAGTCTCTGAATTCAGAGATGGGTTTTATATCTTAGACTGCAGAAGCAGTGACACCATCAGCATTAGCTGATTAGTTAGCTCATCTGACCAGCAACCTAAGGAGAACTGTCCTGGTGTACATGAAAGAAAATAGCTTTCTAGAGATAGCACAAACTCTTCCTAGTTCTCATTGTGCATAAGAGAAAGCCCAGGTCTTTTAAAATAATACATATGTGGATTTTCCTGCTGAGGCTTGCTCTAAGTGTTCCCTTAACTTGGCAAGATTTTGGGGAATAAATAGCGGCATTCAGGAACATGGAGTTTTATTGTCCCCCCCCCCTTTTAGTAATGATATACCTGGATAAGCTGTTATACAGATAACCATGGAAATAATGGTACAATATTCTCATCTAAAAATAATGAAAAGAATCATATTACTAGAAATTATAATAAAGGAATTGAGTCTCTCTATAATGAAGACAATGGTAAATCTGCCTCTTAAAAATGCATTTGAAACTAATATGACAATATAATATAAAAAGCAAATTTGAAGAGAATTATTGTATCTGTAAATCATTAATATTTTGGGCAGATAATCAGAAAATAATTAAACAATATTACTTATATCATTTTTTTTTCTTTCTAACATCTTCTTTGGAAGGATTCCTGGGCATGGAAAATTAATGGTGTTGCCAACAAAAGTTTCCACAGGTGTTTTGAAAATCTCTATTATAGAGTGGATATCATTGATTTGTCCAAGAAACAGAAACCATAGATGCTCATTATGGTAAGAAAGTCCTAATTTGTGCTTAGTAGAGAAGACAGATGCAATTTGTATTATTGATTCGGCTATAAAATATATTACTTCTAAATGTATAAATTATATTTTTTATGTTTGATGTATTTTTTACACATATATGAAATGGATGCAAGTTACAAAATCATTAAGTATAATCATGTAATAGTTTAGAATACATTTGTTGTGGTGATAAGAACACTCAACATGAGTATGCTTTCTTAACATATTCTAAGTTTGCAATAACTAGGTTTAATGTTGTAAAGTAGATCTCTAGAATTTATTTATCTTTAGTAACTGAAATTTTACATGAGTTACATGGCAACTATCCATTTTCCTTTGCTCTCAGGCTCTGGTAACTACCATTCTATTCTTTGCTTCTATGAGTCTTACTATTTTACATATCCCATCTAAGTGGAATCATGCAATAATTGTCCTTCTGCAAATGACTTATTTCATTTACCATATGGTTCCCCTCATTCTGCAGATGGCAGGATTTCCTTTTTAAATGTTAAATAATATTTCAGTGTGTGTGTGTGTGTTCTATATCCACTCATCCATTCATGGATGTTTATATTGTTATGCATTGGTGGATGTTTATATTGTGAATAATGCTAGAATCAAAATGGGAGTGAAAAGTCTTTTGAGATCCTTATTTCAAATCTTTTGAATAAATACCCAGAAATGCGATTTCTAGATAATTTATTAGTTATACTCTTCATTTTTGTAAGAACCTCCACATAACTTTCCCTAGGGATTGCATAAGTTCACATTCCCACCACTTTAGGGTTCCATTTCTTTCCATATCTTCATCAACACATTTATTTGTTTAGATATTAGCCATCCTAACAAATGTGAGGTTATATCTCACAGTTTTGATTTTCATTTCCCTGATAATTAGTGATGTTGATAGCATTTTCATAAGCCTGTTTGCCATCTTCTTAATATTGCTTTGGCTATACAGGTTTCTCTATTTTTCTGTGTGAAATTTAAGTTTTTTTTTTTTTTTCTATTTCAACTAAGAAGGCCATGGGTGTTTTGGTAAAGAATGGATTAAGTCTGTATATGACATTGTATTACATTGCCATTTTAATAGTATTGTTAATTGTATACCATCCATGAACATGACATGTATTCTTGTCTTATTTACTTTATTGTGTTTTGGAGTATTCTATATACTTCAAGTTTTTTTTTTAACCTCTTCCATTAAGTTTATCCTCAGTATTTTATTCTTCTTGATGTTACTGTAAATAAGAATGCTTTCTTAATTTCTCTGTCATCTTTCTGTTATGGTGACAATACACTGTGATAATGAATTTATAAGGAGAAAAAGGTTATTTTGGCTCATTGTTTCACAGGTTTCAGTTAATGTCTTCCATTTCTTCTGAGACCTTTCTTTTATAGTCATTTGGTTCTATTGCCTTTGGGGGGGTTTACAAGGGACTGAACTCAGTCAATGGACCCTGATGTGTTTGGTCTAAGGCAGCAAAATATATCCTGCTGGATGGTATGGCAGAGGAAGCCTGTTTGCCTGATGGTAGCTAGTTGGAAAAGAGGGATAAAAGAGGGAGCCAGGATCCCAATATCCCTTTCAAGAATACACACCCAGTGACTCAACTTTCTTCCACTAGGCCCCACCTTCCATAAGTTCTACCCCCAGGCAGTAGAACCACAGGCTAATAACCAGGCTTCTAACACATGAGCCTTTGAGGCCTAGGGGTGGAAAACTATAGGTTTAATCTTGAATGTCCCCCAAGGGCCAATGTGTTGAAGGCTTGATCCCCAGCCTGTGGTACTATTGGGATGCAGTGGAACCTTCAAGAGATATGGCTTAATAAAAATAGGCTAGGTCATTGGGGTACATTGAGGGAGCACTGCTACTCCAGCTTCTTCTATCTCTCTATTTGTTTCCCATATGCCATGAGGTGAACAGTCCTCCTTAGTCATGTGCTTCCACCATGATGACACTTCTCATGATAGGTACAAGGCAACAGAGCCAAGCAACCACAGAATGAAACTTCTGAAATCTAAGACAAAATAAATCTTTTCTCCTTATAAGTTGATTATCTCTGGTATTTTGTCACAGTATCAGAAAGCTGACTAACAGAGTTTCCTTAGGAATACAACAGTTTTTTGTGTGTGTTAATTTTTTTATCCTGAAACTTCATTATATTTTTCACTAATTCTAATTTTTAAAATGTTTAGTATTTTTATATCTAAGATATCACCTGGAAGAAGAGATAATTTTACTTCTTCCTTTCCAACTTGGATGCTTTTTATTTCCTTATCTTGCCTAATTTCTGACTATGGTTTTTACTACAAATGGTAAGAGTGGGCATTGTTGTTTTGTTCTTTTCTTCTCCAGTTTCCAAAATTTTATTATCAATTTTATAAAATTGATAATAAAATTAAGTTTCTTATTAAACTTATTAAACAAACAAACAAACAAAAAGACCAAACAGAGATGAGCAATTTTCCAGCCCCATAATCAAGCAAACTGCAAATATATTATTGTCATAGAGCAAGAGGACACTTAAGGATACAGGGCCAGGGCCTGGCACATACTAGGCAAGTGCTCTACCACTGAGCACAGCCCAGCCCACAGTCGACATTCTTATCTGCCACTTGATCACTTCCCAAAGATGGGAACCCACTCCTTAGGCTGACCGTGTTTCCCAGTGACCCTGAGGGAGGAGTGAACCCAATCCACTTCAATTAGAACCTGTGCATGTCTAGATTGGCACGTCCCCCTCCAGTAGTTCACTGTGATATATGCCTTATGCCCCTGTTTCCCCCAGTTATTCTGCCATGTTTAGCGGCTCATGCAAGCCTTCCTGAACCTGTACTCTGCGGGAAACATGCTGTTCCAGACCTGGACTGCCGAGGTCTACTGCTGCCCCAGGAATGGTGTCTCCATCTGCATGGACTTCCACTTGGAGTTGGTAAGCCAGCTGACAGAGAGTGGGGACGTCACCCAGCTTCTGGAAGCCCTCTGCAGGCAGATGGAGCACTTCCTGGATGACTGGAAGGAGCTGGTGAGCAGGAAGCGCAGAGAGCACTTCTACCTCAGCTTCTACATGGCTGAGCAGCTGGTCCTCCTGAGCACTGAGCTCAGGAAGCAGAGTCCCAGCGAAGCTGCCCTCACGATGCTGTCCTTCATCAAAGTCAACTGCACCCCAGCTGACATCTTAAGGGCCACCGAGGGGTTCAATGAGGCCCCCAGACACCACATGAGGACAGTGATGGAAGAATTACCACCATTGCAATCCTCTAAGATCAGCCTGGTGACCAAGCTGAGGGCCATCATGGAACAGTCCCTGGAGTGCATGAGTGACTTTCTGCCTGGCTGCCTGGACCTGGAGGCCTTGGGCCATTGTCTGGCTCACCTGGCCAGGATGGGCGGGCCTCCTGTGGAGTGGTCTCTTCCTGTAGGCCTGCAGGCTGGCCAGCCCAAGCTGGTTATGTGTGGCCACTCTGAGGTGCTGTTGGCTGCCCTGGCTATCTACATGCAGGCCCCAGGCCAGCCCCTGCCCACCTTCGATGAGGTGCTACTCTATACCCCAGGGACCACGGTTGAGGATGTAGCCCTGCTCTTGCACCGATGCCTGGCCCTGGTTTCCCAGGGGCACAAGGTCTACAGCCTGCTGTTTGHGGACCAGCTGAGCTATGAGGTGGCCTGCCAGGCAGAGGCCCTCTTCTACAGCCTGTGCACACAGTGTCCCCTGGAGGACTACCAGCTAGTACTGGTCTGTGATGCAGCATGGGAGTGCTGTTACCTGCCCTCAGCCTTCAGCCAGCACAAAGTCCACGTCATCCCCCAGGCGCCCCTCCATGCCATCCAGGCCTACTTGGCATATCACTACCAGGTCTCAGCACAGACCTTGTCAGCGGCAGCTGTGTTCAGAGACCAGATGTGTGTGGGGATCGTGGCTTCAGAGAGAGCAGGAGTTGGTAATGAGAGTGCTGGGGTGGGAAGGCAGTCTCTGAGGGCTTCCAAGTGTCCTGTAGCAGAGGGCACCTCAGCTGACAACCCTCTGCAGGTGGAAAAGTGAGTCTCAGGAGGGTCTGACTCCCTGCGGTCAGTGCTTCCCCTAGAAGGAGCCCCCTTTCCATCCAGGTTGCAGTTCCTGGAAGCCCTGATCCTCTCCTTGCATGGACTTCTCTGCAGGTCACTTTTTTCCTGCATAACCTCCTTTGATCTATTCCGGGTTGTGTTGGTGTGAGCAGAAGAGGCACAGCTGCTCTAGCTCCAGGAGAAGAGTGCCTTTGCACCTTCCCTTTAGTCACTGTCATGTTTCCTTGGAAAGAGGTGGTGACTTCCATTCTGTTGACTTCAACCTGTGAGTATCACTGTGCCCTGTCCAGATACAACCTGTTCTCTCCCCCACTGGGGGACATGCCTCTGCTTTTACTTTATTACACTTCCACCATTGTCATCATGGGGAATTCGAGGATGCTGGGTGGGTGACAGCTCTGGATTCTGGCTTCATGGTGGAGTTGTGCTCTAATATGATGTTCTGTTGCATCAGTTTTGAATTTTATACAGAGAAGTAACTTTTTAATTTTTTTCAACTGGTGATTTACCCCAAGGATGCCCTACCCCAGCCTTTTTCATTTTTTATTTTGAGATATGTTCTCACTAAGTTGTTTGGGGCCTTACTAGGTTACTGAGGCTGGCCTTGAACTTACAATCATCCTATCTTGGCCTTCCAAGCTCCTGGGATTATAGGCATGTGCCACTGCTCCTGGCTGAGAAGTAATTTCTAATCTCTCTGGAATCTGTTCCTCTTGATCCATAGGCTTAGGATCTAATTTCCTTGTTTTAACATTATAGGAAAATCTCTCTATGTGAAGAGGTTGCATGAAAAATTGAAAAAGAAGTTAAACAGTGAAGAGGTGCCTTTAAAGATTGTTCAGTTGACTGACACTCAGGTGGATGAGGGCCAGGTCCTGGGCTCCGTCCTATCTTTCTGGGATGCTCAGTATTGGAAAATGCCCATGATATTCCACTTTGAGGTGACTGCTTCTGTAAGTGCCCACATGGCAACTRAATAGCCACATCAGAAGGCTCACATTCCCAGGGCCCCATCTGCTTCTCCTTGAATGAAGAGTCCCTTCCTTCTATACTTGCCTGTAGTCAGTACTCTTCTCCCAAGGAAGAAGTCAGGAGGGTCCTGGGGGTTGGGAGGAATGGTTGGCAATTGTGTATTTTCAAACCCATGCTTCTCTGTCTTTAGGTACAGACTGGAACTTGGGTCTTTCTTTTCAAACTCCTCATTTTACAATACCTAATGGATATAAGTGGGAAAATGTGGCTTCAGAGCCCATGCCATTTATATATCATTGAAATTACAGAAGGAAATTCAGTACTGCCAAAGAGATCTACAAAGCTGGTATGTACACAGGGCATTTTCAGGTGGTCATGGCACACCTTTGATTCTGTGGCTTGAAGCCTGGGTTGACATATCTTGGTTGTTTTCCACTTTCACCTTAGGGTAGCTGTGAGTCCATGTTAGGGGAAATGCATGCTTGGACTTAGATCTTAATGATGTCTAGAATGAGAATACTCTCATGTTGATTGGTAGCATCTTTTATTCATCTGGATATGTCAGATTGCTTCCTATGTCTGGGGTTGAATTCCAGGGGTGCTCAGTGTGGAGGATTCATCTGTTGATGGCCACTGTCTCCCTGCCAGTGAAGAAGACAGTGAGACKTCATTCATGGAAACCTGTTAGCTGGTGGGAGTTCTATTGTTACACATGTGTTCATGCTTGGTGAAGAGAAAAGCCACAGGATTGGATATAGCTTTCTGGTTCATAATGCAGCTTCCATAGTTGAGCTTCTGTAATGCTCTAACATGCAGATACCAGCCTCTGTGAACAAGAGGATGCAGAAAGCCACATGCATTCAAGTGATTGTTTTCATAAAGGTCTATCCACAGGAGACCAGACCACGTGGAAGGTTAACACATATGGGCATCTTTCAGGAAATCAAATTCTAACTTCTATTTATGTCTCTTCTTTGCAGAATCCACGTGCCCCCCAGATCAGTTTTCTTGACATCTTCCCCAGAGTCACCTGCAGACCTCCCAAAGAAGTGATATCCATGGAGCTGAGCCCTGAGAGGAGCTTCATAGAGCCTGGAATGGATGAGAGAGAGTTCTGCAGTGCTACTTTCCAAAGACCTTACCAATATTTAAAAAGATTCCATCAAAAACAAAACCTAGACACATTTCAATACCAAGGAGGCTCTGTTGAAGGTACCCCAGGGGAGTGCATCCAGCACCTCCTCATATATTGTGGGGTCATCAACCCCTCCTGGTCTGAGCTCCAGAACTTTGCTCGGTTCCTCAACTCTCAGCTCAAGGACTGTGAGGCCTCTGTGTTCTGCAATCCAGACTTTACTGGAGATAAACTACTGGGCTTCAATAACTTTGTGGTCACCTTCATGATTGTCATGGCAAGAGATTTTACCACACCAGCACTTCATACCTCTGACCAAAGTCAAGGGAAGCACATAGTCACCATGGATGGGGTTGATGAAGAAGAGCTTGCCCCCTTCACTCTCCGGAGGAGGTGGGAGTCAGAGCCTCACCCATATGTGTTCTTCAATGGTGACCGTGAGACCATGACATTCATAGGCTTCTATCTCCACCCCAAGGAGAATGGCAGCGTTGATGCCATCAACCATCTCAATGGGGAGATAATCAGGAAAGATGTCATGACAGAAGAACTGTACAGGGGGCTGTTGCTTCAGGGGGKGCCCTTCAATGTTGACTTTGATAACCTGCCCAGACATGAGAAACTCTTGAGACTCTGCTGGCCGCTAGGAATTCCTCAGGCCCTTGACCCTGATGAAACATATGAGCTTACAACAGACAACATGCTCAAGATTCTGGCCGTTGAGATGCGATTCCGCTGTGGGATCCCAGTTATCATCATGGGAGAAACCGGCTGTGGGAAAACCAGGCTTATTAAATTCCTTAGTGATCTGCAGCATGCTGGTACCCAGGCTGAGACCATGAAGTTGGTCAAGGTTCATGGAGGAACAACCACAGCCATGATTCACTCCAAAGTCTTAGAGGCTGAGAAAACTGCCTTATCCAATAAGGACTCACACCAGTTGGACACCATCTTGTTCTTTGATGAAGCCAACACAACAGAAGCCATAAGCTGTATTAAGGAAGTCTTGTGTGACCAGACTGTGGATGGCCAGCCCCTGGAGGAGGACTCAGGCTTGCACATCATAGCTGCCTGCAACCCTTACAGGAAGCACTCCCAGGAGACCATCTGCCATTTGGAGTCAGCTGGTTTGGGGTACAGGGTCAGTGCAAAGGAGACAGCAGATAGGCTGGGCTCCATTCCCCTCAGGCAGCTGGTGTATCGTGTCCACGCCCTGCCCCCGAGCCTGATTTCTCTAGTGTGGGACTTTGGCCAACTGAATGACACTGCTGAAAAGCTCTACATCCAGCAGATTGTGCAGAGACTGGTGGACCATGTCAGGATCAGTGAAGACAAGACTCATGTGATCACAGAAGTGCTCTCCGCCTCTCAGAGGTTCATGAGGAACACTGAAAGTGAGTGCAGTTTCGTCAGCCTCCGGGATGTGGAGCGCTGTGTGAAGGTGTTCACATGGTTTCATGGCCGCAGCGAGATGCTCTTGGTGAAGCTGAACACCTTTCTCTGCGAGACCAGTGTCAGCAAAAATAACTTCAGGAGAGACCCTGTCCTCTGGTCCCTGGTGATGGCTGTGGGGGTCTGTTACCATGCCTCCCTAAAGGAGAAGGAGTCCTACCGCAGAGCCATTTGCAGGTATTTTCCAGAACCATATGACGACAGCAGGGTCATCCTGGATGAGATCACACACGCACAGGATCTTTTCCTGAGTGGGGTGCCTCTGAGGAAAACCATAGCCAGGAACTTGGCTCTGAAGGAGAATGTCTTCATGATGATCATCTGCACTGAGCTGAAGATACCCCTCTTCCTGGTAGGAAAGCCTGGCAGCTCCAAATCTCTTGCCAAGACCATCGTGGCAGATGCCATGCAGGGCCAGGCTGCACACTCCGCTCTCTTCCGTAGCCTGAAGCAAGTCCACCTGGTGTCATTCCAGTGTAGCCCTCACTGCACCCCACAGGGCATCATAARCACCTTCAAGCAGTGTGCTCGCTTCCAGCAGGGGAAAGACCTGCAGCAGTAAGTGTCTGTGGTGGTGTTGGATGAGGTCGGCTTGGCAGAAGATTCCCCCAAAATGCCCCTGAAGGCTCTGCACCCACTGCTGGAAGATGGGTGCATTGAAGGTGATCCTGCCCCCCACCAAAAAGTCGGCTTCATAGGTATTTCCAACTGGGCCCTCGACCATGCCAAGATGAACCGGGGCATCTTTGTGTCCCGCGGCAGCCCCAGTGAGAAAGAGCTCATAGAGAGTGCCAGAGGGATCTGCTCTTCAGACAGCCTGGTGCAGGACAGGGTCCAAGGGTACTTTGCTCCTTTTGCCAAGGCCTATGAAACAGTGTGCAGCAGGCAGAACAAGGAATTCTTTGGGCTTCGCGACTACTAAAGCCTCATCAAGATGGTCTTCGCCAACGCCAGAGCATCTAACAAGAAGCCTTCTCCACAGGATATTGCACAGGCAGTCCTTCAGAACTTCAGTGGCAAAGATGACATCCCTGCTTTGGACATCTTCATGGCCAATTTACCTGAGGCCGGGTGTGTGGAAGAGGTCAGCACCCTGGAGCTCATCAAGCAGAACATTTGTGGGAGTATGCAGAACATACTCCCAGCAGTGGGGGAACAGGAAGAAGCTGAATCCCTCTACTTGCTCATACTGACCAAAAACTACATGGCCCTCCAGATCCTGCAGCAGTCATTCTTCAGTGAGGACCAGCATCCCAAGATTCTCTTTGGTTCCAGTTTTCCCCGGGACCAGGAGTTTACCCAGATCTGCAGAAACATCAATCGGGTGAAGATCTGCATGGAGACCGGCAAGATGGTGGTGCTGCTGAACCTGCAGCACCTATATGAGAGCCTGTACGATGCGCTCAACCAGTACTACGTCTACCTAGGGGGCAAGAAGTAGGTGGACCTTGKGCTCAGCACCCATTGTGTCAAGTGTCGGGTCCACCCTGACTTCTGCCTGATTGTCATCGAGGAGAAAAATGTGGTGTACGAGCAGTTCCCTGTGCCCCTCATTAACCGGCTGGAGAAGCACAAGCTGGACACCAGCTTGGTGCTGAAGGGATGGCAGAAGAGCATTGTGTAGGAGCTCACGCAGTGGGCAGAGGACTTCGCTGATGTGAAGGCCCATCAGTTCCTGGCTGGGCACAAGTTCAGCCCTGCTGATGTCTTCATCGGCTACCACTCCGATGCCTGTGCCTCCGTGGTGCTGCAGGCTGTGGAGAGGCAGGGCCCCGGGGACCAGACAGAGGAGCTATACCACAGGGTGTCTGAGGAAGCCAAGCTGATCCTGCTGGACTGTGCCACAACAGATGCTGTGGTGCAGCTGAGCAACTCTGCACTAGGCTCATTTGCTGCGCAGGTGCTGTCGCAGGAATACTGGTACAAGCAGCAGCATCATTCCTTTGCAGATTTTCTCCAGGCCCAACTTCACAATGGGGACTCGGAGTGCCATGCCATCTTCACAGAGGTGACTGCCCCACAGCCTTTCCCTTTCCTCTTTCACCCAAGAGCCCTGGTCCCTGGGGCCCAGAGGTTTTGACTCTCCTCAAGATAGTGTGCAGTCTAGGAAACGGGTGTGTTTCATACAGGCACAAGGAGGATAAGTTCAGTGAGGCCTCTTTTTGACTGTGAGTAGAGCTCTGCTCTGAGAGCAGCATTGGGCACAACATTCAGKTCCCAGAGTGCTGGGTCCACCTGGGATGTAAGTGAATTGGTCTGCTTCCCATCCTTTRACAGAGTAAGAGTAATGGATGAGAATGTCTCCCATGCAGGTGTCTTAGTGTCATATATGAAAGCTGCGCTCCAGGTAGGGACATGGATCTTAGGTGGTTCTCCTTAAGAGACGCTTTTTGCACTGAGAGAGAGGGCTGGCTGGCCCAGTGTCAGAGGCAGAGGCCTCTGTGGGACACAGGTGTTGAGTCTGAATCTGCATCTGTGCAAGAGGCCTGGAGGAGATCACTGACAGACGGTAATGTTCAAGCTTTGAGTGCTGGGTCTCACAGGAATGTAATAGGTGGAGAGACATGTGGAGGGCCTTGTCAGCAGCCTTGAGCTTCATCTTGCCTGCACAGAGAGGAGCTATGAAGCAATATGTATGTGGACATACCCCACTGCCCCAGTGATGGGAATACAGTGGAGCAAGAGACTGACATTGAGAGGATAGAGCTGTCAGGAGGCTGCTGGCATGGTGCAAACTGCAGACAGTTAGCAGGCAGTAAGGGGAGGAAGGAGGTGGAAGACAGCCTTCCTGAGCTCACTGCAGCTTTGTGCAATCAGCATGGAGAATCCAGGAACAGCAGTGGGTTTGGCAGCTAGTGGTGGTGACATCCATTTAGGGTAAGTTTGGATGTCTGCTTTTTGGTTGGATGTGGGAACCTGAAGCCTATTCATAAGGACAGACCCAGAGAAGGGGTCAGGAACTGAGTGCAATAGCACATGCCTATAATCCTAGTGGCTTGGGAGGCTGAGGCAGGAGGATGGGAAGTTCAAAGCCAGCCAGCCTCAGCAACTTACGGAGGCMCTAAGTAACTTAATGAGATTCTGTCTCAAAATTAAAATTAAAAGGGCTGAAGGGGTTGGCTTGTAGCACAGTGGTAGAATGCTAGCATGTGTGAGACTCTGGGTTCGACCCTCAGCACCACATAAAAATAAATAAAACATAAAGGTCCAGTAACAACTAAAAAATAAATAAAATTTAAAAAGGGGCTGGGGTTGTTGTTCAGTGGTTAAACACTCCTAGATCTAATCTCTGGTACTAAAAAAAAAAAAAAATAGAAGGGGTCTGGAGAGCTGAGGTCCTACATGCCTAGGAACATCTGGGTTTGCACCATGGGGTGTGGTCCATGGAAGAGACTTGGGAACTACTGAGGGGAGGAAGAGTTGCTAGTGGCTAACTCCATCTGATAGCAGGAAGCCAGATTACAAGAAGAAATGGCATTGTGCTGAGCCCTAAAGGATCAGGAGGCTCTCAGGTAGGGACCAAAACAGGAAAAGAGATATTGGCTTCTCAGAAGGCATCCGAGGCATCTTCTGGCCGGGGCAAGTCTTCTCTCTGTCATCTGTTGACCCTGGAGGTTCTGCTTGCCTCAGCCATTCCTTGTATGTAAAACCTGCTCAGAGTAGGGCTTCTTTTTGTCCCAGTGCCCCCTGGTCCTGGGTTCTAACCCACCACTCTGTGCCCTCGCTTGAATTCTGGCTGATGGCTTGTGCACCCACATTGCAGGTCACCACCTTCTCCAGACTGCTGACGAGCTGTGATTGCGAGGCCCTAGGGGAGGAAGTGAAGAGCTTGGCCCCGAAGCCCGTGATCCTGTAACTGCAGCAGTTCAACACTGAGTACTCATTCCTCAAGGAAGTCCGGGGAGGTGTCCTGCCTGGCCATCACCCTCAGCCCCCATCCTAGGTATATGGTATCCCATACTGAGGCACGGTAGCCATTCGAAAGGAACTCTGAGCACTGGACACTGTGAGAAGGTCATTGCTCAGCCTCATGGTATGCCCTTCCAGCCCCTGTCATAAGTGGCCTTCTCCACAGCTGTGTAATCTGTCTCTTGATACTTGTGTAGCCCTTTCCTTCTCCAGTGGATTGCCTCCTCATCTTGTGGAAGGAGACCCTACTTATTATTCTGCATGGCCTGTTTTTCCCTTCACTTTGTGGAGTGTTGTGATCCATGTTTATGTTTTGTTTTGTTTCACTTATGATAGGAACTGAACTCATGGCTGCTCTACCACTGAGCCACATCTCCAGCCCTTTATTATTATTATTATTATTATTATTATTATTATTATTATTATTAATTTGCAGACAGGGTCTTGATGAGTTGCTGAGGCTAGCCTGGAACTTGTGACCCTTGTGCCTCAGCCTACGGAGCCATGGCTGCCTGTGTTTTAGGACAGAGGATTCACTTGGGTGATTCCATTTTTCTTTCAGAAGCAGCTTAATGAAGACAGCCAGATGTAAAATCCTCATTGTCCAGWTGGATTTTGATGATGGCGCTCACAGTGCTCAGCTCATTGCATCAGCTAAGTATGTTCTTAGTATTTTTCTCAGGAAACACAGGAAGCCAAAATCTACCCAGGACCTCCTGAAGAATTTATTTCCTGAAAGCAGTGTGAAAATAAGAATGACTCTCCCTCCCAGCTCCTGACATGGGCTAGGGAAGCTAGAGAGGAAAGGATGAAGAAAAAGGCCAGTAATGGCACAGAATTGGTGAAATGCAAGAAGTGTCAATAATGGAATATTTGTAGTGTGTGGAAGAATGTGTTAAAGCTATGTTTGCAGTCATTATTTGGTCATTTTAATTTTTAATCACACAATTAGGATTAAAGTTTAGTCTGGGATGTAGCCTTGTGGTACAGCACTTACATAGCATGTCTGAGGCCCTGGGTTTAATCTGCAGCACTGCATAAAAAAGAAAAAAAAGTAGTTATCATAAGTTTAAGGGCAGTAAAACTATGTAAATAAATTAATATTTATTGGACATTTTTTATCATGACTATAAATCTGTTGCTTTCATAATTGCTGTGTTCTGTCACTCATGTAATGTAAGAGTGACTTCTGCCCCTTTAAAGCACTGAGAGCCTAGTACAAAGTTAAGGCTAGCCAGATCCTGCTAGGAGGTGGTCTGTGACCACTGGGGGTGTAAGGGGCACTGTACCTCACTGTACTCTCTCAAAATGGGAAGGCCAACAAGCCCCACCCTCTGGCATGTGAGGGCCCTGAGACATGCCGAGTGGGAGTTCTGATCAGCAGTGAGAGGTAGAATGTGACCCCACCAACAAGAAGCCCTTCTCCTCTCACAAGAGATGTGGTGGCCCCTGGCATTGTGTGGAATGTGGTAAAGCCCCTGACAGCTCCAGGGACACCCAGCAGCCATCTCACACCTTGGTTTTTGCTCAATTGCTTGCTTTGTTTTGATTTTTGTTTTCTAAATAGATACTCTGCTATCAATGAAATCAACAAAATACAAGGAACTCAGGGCTGCATCTTTGTTTATTTCATCACAAAACTGTCCTGGATGGGGAGCAGAGCATCCTATGTGGGATTCCATGGAGGTAGGGCCAAAGATGAGTGACTGTCTTTAAGTATGTCTGGGTTGATTCTCAGGGGTCCCATGCTGCCTGSGTGTCTAAGTCAGACACCAACTCCAGCTGTCTCTGGGCTTCTTTGGCTCACTGTTCACAGCCATCACCCTGGGACTTGCTGCTGCTCTGTCAGCATGGCCTGGGCTATCTCAGGTGTGCACAGGATGAGCTCCTGCTCCAACTCTTCATTGTACAAATGACTCAGAGATCTTCTCCTTGCAACCAGCCCTAGTGCTGACTSCTTGTGTCTGCTCCTTGGGGGAAATCTTGCCTTCAAATCAGCCCAACTCTTTTTCTGTGGAATGATCATAAACTGGATTATGTAAGACAATTGGTATTCTGAGAAGAGGGAAATAAGTTGAATAATTTTACAGATGGAAAGCCAACCTGTCAGTATCTTGAAGCACTTTCTAACTAAGTGACAGTAAGTATGCTAAGATGCACGTAAAGAACCATAGACAGGATTCAGGTAGCCTTTGCACACCAGTTAATCAGTCTCAACACACAGGTTGATGGTGAGCGTGCTGATATGATGTAGCGGAACTGATGGGTTTTGGTGTGTTCAGGGACATAGACTTTGAGGTACCGATCATTCCTCTGTCAGTAGCGTGATTAAAAATCTAGACACAGGTGTGTCCCTGTTCATGGCTGACAAGAAGAAAGTGAAAAGACTTGGGAAGACTTGGTAGCTTTGTTCTTCACAGGGCTATGGCGGTCTGTGCACATCGATGACCTCCGGAGGTTCCCAGTCATGTCCTCTGATGTGACTAAGCTGCAGAGTGTTACCATCAGCCAGCTGTTCATGCCAGGAGACAGCCCTGAGCGTGAGTTGCAAGGTTTCAGTCTGGGAAAGTGGGKGCAGAGAGRCAGATGGAAGGTGTCAAGTTAGACAGCTTCCTGTGGGGCTGGAGTCAGGGTTGCCACACTTGAGTTACCTTTGAGTCTYGGCACCTGSCCTCAGCCRGAACTCAGGATGTGRCACTGAACTGCCYGGCTCATGGTCAAGATCACCAGGGCCATGGGAAGGCCAAGGAGCAACWCCCAGTGTATCAACTGGTGTGCTGTGGGTSATGTGCCCCAGGCTGTGGGACACCTGAACAGTAGATTTTGTGCTAAACTGGGTGACAAATGTCCCCATGACTGGGGCTGCCACTGAAGCTTGGGACAGGAAACCTTGGTGAAGCTCTCAGCCTAGGCACAGACTTGGTGCCACCCCTTCCTTTTCCTTCTCCAAGTGGTGACTTGATTGTGTTCCCTTTGCTTGCATCAAAAGGCAACCAGGAGGAGGCAATGGAGGCATAGAGTAGCAAGTCAGGGGAGGTGGCAGAAATGGAAATGGAAGAGGAAGGTCCCAAGGAGATGGAATGGGAGGCTGTGGACCTGAGAGGTGGTGATGTGAGTTCTCTGTTCCCCTGTTGGCTGCAGGTGGCTGAGCTGGAGGAGCCCAGGCAGCTGTGCCAAGGTCAGGCTGAGCCCTGCCTTCTCTTTATGCTGGAACTATGAGGGACTTACCAGGACAAGATCTGTCATACCCTTCTTCATGAAGACTCCTAGTTAGCTCTGCCCTGTCCCTCAACCACTGACCAAATCCTTGATGTCAGCCACCACCTTGCCAGTGGTCCTCAGGGTGGTTGGGCAGCACTCAGGGATCAGCTGGGAGAGGTCAGTAGGTCAGCTTCACCATGTAGACTGGCCACTGATGCTTTGGGCACATGGACACGAGGCCACCTTCTTGTGTGGGTAGCGTAGCTTTCACCCACCCTGGACATGGTAACAGCAGATGACGTGCTGTCTCCCTTGGCAGGCACAAGTCCTGGACACCACCAGACTGCTGAGGAGCTGTGTGCATAGTGCTGTGGGGATGCTCAGGGACCAGGAGAGCAGCACACGCAACATGAGGAGAGTCACCATCCTCCTCAGCCTCTTGAATGGGGACAGTGTGTGCAGTGGTATGAGTCATGTCCCTGCTTCTCATCAGGGAATCAGGTGGCTGAGTGTGGCGAGCTGCCCTTCTGGGTTTCTGTGGCTTGGCAGATGCAGCTGGCATAGTGGAAATCTCAGGACATCTCTAGAATTCTTCTCTAGAGTTGGCCTGGCCAGAGGACCTGTGGCTTCCCTCTGTGGGGGAACTGGTCAGCAGCATACCAGAGCCTCCAACTTGGTGCCCACAGGTGGACCAAACTATGTCCCTTCTGCCTTTTCACAGCCTCATTCTTGTGGATATCCAAGATGCGCCTCTCCGTCCTTCTAAAGAAGCAAGAAGAGAACCAGCTCTGCAGTCTGAAAGAGTGGGTGGGGCGAGAGGCTGTGAACCAGGATGCACTCCAGGAGGCCAGCACCTTCAGGTACTGTGAGCAGCGGGCAGTGCAGGGACCTACCATGCCATCCCAGGGGAAGGAGCACACCAGGTGTTTCTTTCTCCACCTCTGAGGAGGGCAGAGCTATGTTTTTGCTCCAAGAGCCCAAAACAGACCTGGATGTTGGTCATGTGTGGTTGTTGGCCATGTGGGTGGTGGTCCTGAGGTGTTTATTGGCCACCTGGATGTTGGTCAAAAGGGGTTGTTGGCCACTTGAATGGTACTTATGGGGGATTGTTGGCTTCCTTTCGCTGCTTTTGTGTGTTTAACTTTTTTCATAATAGCAAACTTAAAAAAAATGTTCTCATAGGATGTAAAAATTGGCCTCATAGGATGTTTGTCATAAACCACAGCTAGGGTTGCCATTCAAGGTTATTAAAATTGAGATGGTGATGTGCAGGGAAGTAACAGAAATCATCTTCCTAGACCTACTGCTTGAAGCAATAGCAAGTACAAAATAGGACCCAGAAGTGTCATTTATTATCTGTGGTCTTTTTTCTACAAAACCATGACCCTTTTCTTTAGACCCTTTGAAGAGCCTGGGCTATGGGGTTAGGAGGATTGCTCAGGGTCTCAGATGGAGGGTCGGAGGGTCATAAACCACCTGTTGGCAGGGTGATCTTAGGCCACTGAGGTCCTCCATGGTCCCTTCAGTTCTGCCCTTCTGATGCCCTGGCTCCAGGCCTGCTGCCACATGTGGCCCACAGGGGGAATGTGGGCAATGGCAGAGTCCTGGGTGGCCAGGGCCCATAGGTGCTGGCTTCCTCACCACAGGAGCTTTTCCATTTCAAGTTCTCTCTGCATTGCTCCTTGACTTCTTTCCTAGTTACACCTTCTGAAGGAAGTTTGTGAGCCCAGAAACTGTACATGATTTTGTCTCCCTGGATGGTCTTCCTTTCCTAGCACATGTCCAAGCCATGTTCCCATTGCCCGTCTGCCACTGTTGCTCTGTCCTTGCTGGATTTGCCAGCCTCCCTTTTCACTACCCCATGGTCTCCACAGTACTCGGGACCAGTTTTTTCCCCGTGGTCACAAGCAACACCCAGGAACAACTGGACCTGCTTGCACTGCACCCTCAATGCCCATTTCTGGGGCTAGCAGAGCCTTAGGACCCTGCTGGATGTTATGAGTCTTCACTAACACTGTGTGTCTGGGACTTAACATCACATATCCTTGGGGCTAGACAGCCAGCCTCCTTGAAGTCCTTTACACCAGAAGTCCTCTGCTTTTTAGTTAACTGTGTTAAGTAGTCTTGTCTTTATATTCTTTTTGATTCTCAAGTTGTTTAAATTTGGTCTCTTGGAACCCCTTTGAGGTGACTGCATTACTATGAGAGCACTTCCCAGGGCTCTCAGCTCCTCCAGCCCAGAACCTCTTTCACCACCACCCCTTCCCCATCCTCTGTGCATGTTCTAGTTTGGGGTCTTAAGTCAAGTGATGTCCTTGACTAGTGGGATGTTTGTTTTCTCAGTAGATGTTTTTAAGTTCTCTCTAGAATCCTGTGTACTATATAKTCAGGAAAAAAAATTCATACAAAAGGCCTTACTTTATTTTCCAACACAATTACCTAGTAATTCTTGTCCTTTACCATAAGAAATTATAGAATTTTTGTTATTATGTAAAAAACATATCTTTGCAACATGAAAGTGAGATGTAGTTAATTCAACCAATTAARCGCTGTCACTCTAAAGTACTCAGGGTTATTTACAGAAACACCCACAATGAAAGCTGAATTCTAGATGAACATGTTTTCTTACTTAACTTCATCTAGATCAAATTTACGTTCATCTCTTCATCTTTATTATATRGTATCCACAGCTRATTTTTTTTCTTGCAAAGTTTATTTATTTAGTGAAGTTCATTATTATTTGATTTGTKTATAGAACCTAGTTGGCTTGTTCTAAAAAAACATTATATACAAAAACAGCAAATATTTCTTCATCTTTTCAAGGCACTAGTTGCTGTTACTAGATGTAGAATTAAGTTCCATCCAGTCCTGCTTCTAATCTAAGACAATCGCATTTGTGAGTCTCTTACACTTAAAAGTGATGAGAACTTCAATTTGCCGCCCTGGCTTGTAGGCTAGAAGGCTTGTTGACACAGTGGAAGGAGGCATCAAGATCATAGTACTGACTGTGGTGCTGAGCCATTGTCCCCTGTCCTCTGTCCCACCCCTGCTGCAGGCATACCCTTTGGAAGTGGGTCCAAAGCGCAGTCACTCCTCTGCTGGCCAGCATGATCTCTCTCAGCGACAGAGATGGCAACCTCGAGCTTCTGATTAGACCAGACTCACCAGCCTGGGCCCGGGACCTGTGGATGTTTATTTTTAGTAACACTAAGTTGCTGAACATTCCGCTTATGATGAATAACATAAGGTGAATGAAAATCCTCACAGCACCCTCAGTAGCTCTCCTGGGCTTGAGAATGTAGGCTCTGCTTTCCAAGGAATGTTTCTCCAGCTTTTTCTATAGCTTAGCGGTCATGGCATCCTGGCAGGTCTTTGTTCCATTTCCTTTTTCCTAATTTTCTTCTCTGAGGGCATCTGTGATAGTTCAGAAAGCCAGGCTGGATTCTGTGTGCAGTGGGGACACTGCCCTTTGGAGAGACTATGTCCTTACATGCTTGTGTTCCCTTATGCTGTTCCCCTGTTCTGTCAGGGAACCTCCCCAAGTTTTCTTTTCAGATTACAGGGACTTCAGTTCTGGAATGTAGGCCAATAAGATGCAGGAGAGGGGCAGGCACAGGCACTGGAGACTTGTTCATGCCTGAAACTTTGGGACCTTTCTAGGCCCTGCACAGGTGGCCTGCTTTCATTCTGCCTGTAAACAAGGGTTATGAGGTAGCCCTCCAGTTTCTGTGCACTAGGAGCCCTGGCCAGGAAGGCAGACAGCAGCTGTCTATGCAGCCTCAGCACCTTGTCTTATTTTGATGTGGTGTGGGGGATGGAACCTGAGGCCTCACACTTGCCAGGAAAGCACTCTACCGCAGAGCTACCCCCTCACCCCTGACCCACAGCACCTTCTGAGAATTGTGGCACATGTCCTCTGGTGTTTGGAGCACCATCTCAGGAACTGATTCTCACTAACCTCACCTCACTGCAGATCCAAGAGTGAGATGTCCTCCATGGTGGTACAAAACCATATGAGCCTTCCCGAGGGTGCTAGCAACAGTGTCCCCTTGAGCTGGAGAATCAGGGACTATCTGGAAGACCTCTGGGTCCAGGCCCAGTACATCACAGATGCAAAAGGTGAGTCCTGCTCAAGATGGGCCCGATGCAGCCCTGGTGAAGCAGCCTTTACCCACAAAGACACTGCCTGACCATCAGCAGGCAGACAGCACCTAGCACCTGGTAAATTCTGGGACTTGTAGTTCTCACACTTTGCATGTGGAATAGACTCAAGTTCATGTATTGCCTTCATTTTGAAATGTCTGCTGAAGAAATGAGAGTCTCCAGGAGATCAGAAGCCTTTAAGTCATGCCGTGAAGGGAGGCTGTGAGGTGATTTCTAGTGGCTCACTGGCTGTCAGTCTGGTGAGCATGTTCCAGCAGGGATGAAGCTTACTTCCTGCTGCAAGTTGACCATTCCTGTTCTGAGCTTAGACCCAGGAAACAGCCCCTTTAAGCTTTCTCAGCAAATGCTAGCAATGAAAGGAACATGGCCCCTTTCCCTTTCCCCATGCTGAGCCCCTTTCCCCATGCTGAGCCATTGTTTCCTCCTGAGTCACACAAGCTGAGTCATTTCAGAAAAGCCAGTGGCAGTGTTATGATTTTGAAAAGTCACCTTTCAGATACATGTGAAATCATCTTTTCAACATGTTCTTAGAGAACCAGTATGCTCAATGTGAACTTGCATTCCTGGGCTTGCATTCTGCCACTTGTCCTAAACCAAAGTGAAGCAGTTGGTCTCCTGCTGAGAGAGTGTTTCTTCCCCTGGGGGAATGCCCTGCCTGGACCTGCTTGTCCAGCTGAGTGTGAAGTGGGGAGCCAACTCCCCTTCTGCTGGAAGGCAAATCTCTCTAATTGGTGTAGTCTGTGACCCCAGCCCTAAAGAGAAGCCCACTCAGTCGTGATTCCCTGGGAACTTACTTGGGCCCATTACACTGAACAGACTTGCAGCACAAAACTCAGGCTACCTCATATGTTTTTTTCCTGTTGGAGCTAGTGTGGATTTTGTGACTTAAATTGAATGTTGACCCTGCCTTCCTTTCTATGCCTCCTATGCTACACATCCACCATTCTCTATTCCCATAATGGAACTTTGTCTTTGAAATGTCCCAGGGTGCTACACTAGCCTGTGGCTCCTTACTGGGGAGCAAGTTTCTCTCAGCTGTGGCTTCACTTGTCTCAAGCCGCTCTGGCTTCCTCCCTGCAGGATGGTCAGAGAAGTTAGTGGAAATCTTCCAGCAGACTCCCCTGGGTGTGTTTCTTGCC